TTAACTTTTTGAGGAACTGCCAGACTGTCTTCAAAAGCAGTGGTGTTATTTTCCATTCCTACCGGCCATGTATGATGGTCCCAGTTTTGCCACATCCTCACCAACACTTTTTATTTTCTGCTGTTTCCTTTTTTAATGATAGCCATCCTAGTGGGTGTGAAGTAGTATTTCATTGTGAGTTTAATTTGCATTTTCTTTTTTTTTTTTTGCTTGAGGAAGATTAGTCCTGAGCTAACATCTGTGCCAGTTTTCCTCCACTTTGTATGTGGGATGTCTCCACAGCATGGCTAATGAGTGGAGTAGGTCTGCACCCAGGATCTGAACCTGTGGACCTGGGCTGCCAAAGTGGAGCACGTGGAACCTTAACCACTTGGCCATGAAGCCAGCCCCCTGATTTGCATTTTCTTAATGCCTGAAGATATTGATGATCTTTTCATGTGTTTTCTGGCCATTTGTATATCTTCTTTGGAGAAATATATATTCACATTCTTTACACATTTTTAATTGGGTTATCTGCCTTTTTTTTTTTTCTTTTTTTGGTGAGGAAGATTGGCCCTGAGCTAACATCTGTTGCCAGTCATTCTCTTTTTGCTTGAGGAAGATTGTTGCTGAGCTAACGTCTGTGCCAACTTTCATCTGTTTCATGTGGGATGCCACCACAGCCTGCCTTGACGAGTTGTGCTAGGTCTGCACCTGGGATCCGAACCTGCTAACCCTGGGCTGCTGAAGTGGAGTACAGACTTAACCACTGTGCCACCAGAACGGCCCCTATCTGTCTTTTGTTATTGAGTTGCAAGTGTTTTTCATATATTCTGAAAGTAAATTTCTTATCAGATATATGATTGGCAAATATTTCCTCCCATTCTGTGGGTTATCTTTTCACTTTCTTGGTAGTGTCCTCTGCTCAAAAGCTTTTAATTTTGATGAAATTCAGTTTCTGTCTTTGTTTTGTTGCTTGTGCTTTTGGTGTCATAGTTAAGAAACCATTGCCTAATCCAAGGTCAGGAAGATTTACTCCTATATTTTCTTCTAAGAGTTTTATAGCCTTAGCTCTTACATTTAGGTCTCTGATCCATTTTGAGTTAGTTTTTGTGGATAGTGGGTCTAAATTCATTCTTTTGCCTGCGGATATCCACTTGTCCCAGCACCATTGGTTGAAACGACCATTCTTTCTCTATTAAATGACCTGGGCACCCTTGATGAAAGTCATATGATCATAGATACATGGCTTGATTTCTGGGCTCTGAATGCTATTCCATTTTCCTGTGTCTGTCCTTACACCAGTACTACACTGTCTTGATTACTGTAGCTCTGTAGTAGGTTTTCAAATCAGGAAGTTTGATTTTTCCAACTTTGTTCTTCTTTTTCAAGATTGTTTTGGCTATTATGGGTCTCTTGCAATTCCATACAAATTTTAGGATCAGCTTCTCCATTTCTGTAAAATATGCAGTTGGAATTTTGGTCACGATTGCATTGAATCTGTTGATGAATTTGGGGAGTATTGCCATCTTCACAGTAGTCTTCTAATCCATTAACGTGGAATGTCTTTCCATTTATTTAGGTCATCTTTAATTTATTTCAGCAATGATTTGTAGTTGTCAGTGTACAGATCTTACACTCCATTAAATTTATTACTAAGTGTTTTATTTGTTTCAATGCTATTGTAAATGGAATTGTTTTCTTAATTTCATTTTCAGATTGTTTGTTGTTGGTGTATAGGAATACCATTGATTTTTGTATATTGATCTTGTATCCTACAACCTTACTGAAGTTGTTTATTAGCTATAATAATTTTTAGTGGGTTCTTCAGGTTTTTTTTGTATGTAAGATTATGTCTTCTGCATGTAAAAATAGTTTTACTTCCTTTTTTTTTTTTAAAGATGTTATTTTTCCTTTTTCTCCCAAAGCCCCCCAGTACATAGTTGCGTATTTTTAGTTGTGGGTCCTTCTAGTTGTGGCACATGGGATGCCACCTCAGCATGGCTTAGATGAGCGGTGCCATGTCCACGCCCAGGATTCGAACTGGCGAAACCCTGGGCCACTGAAACAGAGCGCGTGAACTTAACCACTCGGCCGCAGGGCCAGCCCCCTACTTCTTCTATGCTCTGGATGCCTCTTATTTCTTTTTCTTGCCTAATTGTACTGGCTAGAACCTCCAGGACAATGTTAAATAGAAGAGTTGAGAGCGGTCATCCATATCCTGTTCCTGATCTTAGGGGAGAAGCTTTCAGTCTTTCAACATTATGTATGATATTAGCTGTGTTTTGTAAATGCCATTTATCAGGTTGAGGAAATTCCCCTCTATTACTCATTTGTTAAGTGTTTTTATCATGATAGGGTGTTGTATTTTGTTTTTTCTGGGTCTATTGAGATGATTTTATATATATGTATGTATATGTAGTTTTGTTCTATTAATGTGTTGTGTTACATTGATTGATGCTCACATGTTGAACCAACTTTGCAATCCTGGAGTAAATCCCACTTGATCATGGTGTATAATTCTCTTAATGCTGCTGGATCCAGCTTGCTAATGTTTTTTCAAGGATTTTTGCATCTTTATTCACAAGGAGAATCAGTCTGGAGTTTCCTTTTCTTGTGCTGTCTTTGTCTGGTTTTCATATTAGGGTAGTACTGGCCTCATGGAACGAGTTCTTCTCTTTGGAAGACTTTGTGACGGATTGGTATTCTTCTTTAACTGTTTGATAGAGTTCACCAGTGAAGCCATCTGGGCCTAGGTTTTGCTTTGTGGGAAGTTCTTGATTGCTAATTTAATCTCTTTGCTTGTTGGTCTGTTCAGATGTTCTATTTCTTTTTGAGTCACTTTTGATAGTTTGTGTCATTCTAAGAATTTATTTACCCATTTCATCTAGGTTATTTAATGTTAATTTTAGCATATGATTGTTAATAGTATTTCTTGTAATCCCCTACCCCCACCCCATAAGATCAGTAGTAATGTCTTCCCTTTCATTCCTGATTTTAGTAATTTGAGTCTTCATTTTTTTTTGTACAGTCTTAGATAATGGTTTGTCAATTTTGTTAATCTTTTCAAAGAACTAACATTTGGTTTCATTGATCCTCTCTGTTGTTTTTCTATTCTCTATTTTACTTATTCCACTCTAATTTTTATTATTTATTTCCTTCTGCTTGCTTTAGGTGTAGTTTACTCTTCTTTTTCTGGCTTCTTAAGGTGGAAGATTCAATTGTTTTCAGATCTTTCTTCTTTTTAACAAAGACTTTACAGCCATACATTTCCCTCTGAGCACAGTTTTCACAGCATCCCATAAGCTTTCGTATGTTGTGTCTTCATTTTCGTTCATCTCAAAGTATTTTCTAGCTTTTCTTGTGATTTCTTCTTTGACTTACTGGTTTTTTAGGAGTGTGTCGCTCAGTTTCCACGTATTTGTGAATTTCCCAAATTTTCTTTCTTACTGATTTCCAGTTTCATTCTACTGTAGTCAGAGAAAATACTGTGTATGCATTTTAAGCCTTTGAAATTTGTTGAGAATTGTTTTATTCCTAACATTTCGTCTATCCTGAAGAGTGTTCCGTGTGAACTTGAGAACTAGTGCTCTGCTGCTGTTGGGTTGAGTGTTCCACGGATGTCTGTTAGGTCTCTGTTAGGGCACACCTTCAACACTAAGTCAGGAAGTTTGAAATTCTGACTTAGCATTCACTTTCTGCTGGCACAGAGCCTCAAGTTCAGCCAGAGGTGAGATTAGAGCCTTCTCAGGTCTTTCCTGAGTTTATGCACGATCTTATGCATGCCCCCGATCTTCTAGATTCCTAGAAATTTTGGAGCTTTTCAAACCCCCTATGGATATCTCATTCCTCAGCTTTTCCTTTTGAGCTCCCTGGCTAGTCGATTGTCTGTTCCAGCTGCTACTGATCACCTCAGGCAAACTGATGTGAAAATATTTAACTAACATCCCTGGGGAGAAGCCTTTAGGACTGGAAGAGACTCAGTGAAGTTGAATAAAGACAAGCCTTTTGAGTGGGGTCCTCCAGGGTACCACTAGCTGGGTCAGATAATGACTTCCCTTTGAGAATGAGGCTTTCAAAGATCTCCAGCCCCACTCTGCTCCCTCTGGTACTGGGAATGCATGCTGTTATTTTTCAAGGCTGCTGCAGAGCTGGGGAGCAGGAGATGACACTAGAGTAAATTAAAATGCCACAAGATTGAGCTGATTTTCTTGACTAAATGCTGCCTGAATTACTGCAAGCCTTTGGTTAATTTCCAGAGTACTGAAAAAGTTGATTCTCACAAATTTTGCTATTTTTTAAATTGTTTCTATGGAGGGGTGAACTTTTGGAGGTCCTTACTCCACCATTTTTGCTGGTATCAACATGATCAATTTTTTAACGGAGGGTCAGGGACTGAGATTTTGGGGTGCCCACGATATGAGGATTTCCAACAGTGATGTTGGATTATTTCTTTTATTTTTGGTGAGGAAGATTGGCCCTGAGCTAACAACTGTTGCCAATCCTCTTTTTTTTCCTCCCCAAAGCCCCAGGACATAGTTGTATATCCTAGTTGAAAGTCCTTCTAGTTCTTCTATGTGGGATGCTGCCACAGCATGGCCTGGTGAGTGGTGTGCAGGTCCCTGCCTAGGATCCAAACTGGTGAACCCCAGGCCATTGAAGTGGAGTGTGCGAACTATACCATCGGGCTGGCCCCCTGGATCATTTCTTTTTACTTGGTCAAGAACAAACATCTTTAGCTTTGCTATTGATTATCTTAGAAAAAAAATGTAGTAATTCAGTGATTTGGCACCGTGAGATGAACAGCTAAATCATTTTTCGTCCTTTATTTTAGGGTCTTAAATATAAAATTGCCTTTGAATTTAAACGAATTCTGTTGTTGAGAAGAAAGAATTAGGAGAAACTCTTAGAAATTTTTTGAACAGTTAGAGACCAATGCCTTTGATAGTATTATAAAAAGTTATTCCTATTACATGATATTGAAACAATGCCTGTTTTCTTCTTGTGATTTACCCCTTCAGGGCACCTTTGATGATTACTTGGAGTTATTCCTGCAGTTTGGTTATGTGAGCCTTTTCTCCTGTGTTTACCCATTAGCAGCTGCCTTTGCTGTGTTAAATAACTTCACTGAAGTTAATTCAGATGCCTTAAAAATGTGCAGAGTCTTCAAACGTCCATTCTCGGAACCTTCAGCCAGTATTGGTGTATGGCAGGTAATTATTTGAGAAAAAATTATTCCTTTAAAAAAAAAATGACAAAATGAGGCATTGTGATTTTAAAATAAAAGCCCTAAAGAGAGATTTGGGAAAACTGGATTTTATCCTTGCTCTGCTGCAAACTAGCTCTGTGACCTCAAACAGTCATTAACTTTCTTTGGGCCTCATTTTTCTTGTGTTTAAAGTTGGGGAGTGGGGCAGGTGAAATGTAATCTCTAAGACCCCTTTCAGTTGTAAAATTCTGACGATTTTCTAGGGAAGTAACTGGAACATCACCCAATGGATGATCACGAGGCCCTCTCCACTGCAGTGTTAGTGGAGATCACGCAGGGAACCTGGACTTCTACTCCTACCAGACAGTAACGAGGCTTCTTTTCTAGTCCCTGCTGGGGTGATCTCAGAGAAAGCCCAGTGGAGAGTCGGGACTTTCACCACCACCCAGCACAGTGGAAGCCACATGAGAGCACAGATGTGGCACTTGTACCCCTCCCAGCAAAGGAAGTATCAGTGGTGGTCTAGTGGGAAGTCAGAACTCTGACCCCTGCACAGCAAGAATAAAGACCCCACCTCCTACACTGGGTGTCAGTCGTGTCCAAGCGGGGAACCTGGACTTCTGCCTCCACCTAGCAGTAACAAGATATTGTCTCTTCTTCCCCTGCTGAAGTGGCGTCAGAGGAACCAACTAACACATAAGCTTTAAATAAAGTCTAGAGTCTTATATCACCCAAAATGTCTAAATTTATGTCAAAAATAACTCATCCTACCAAGAACCAGGATGATATCAAACTGAATGAAAAAAGGCAATCAGTAAATGCCACCACCAAGATGCCACAGACATTAGAAATATCAGACAAAGATTTTAAAGCAGCCATGATAAGAATGCTTCAACAAGCAACTGTGAAGACACCTAAAACAAATAAAAAAATAGAAAGATTAGAATTTGAGCAAAGAAATAGAAGATATAAAGGAGAATCAAGTGGACATTTTAGAAGTGGAAAATACAGTAAGTGAAATAGAAAGCTCAGTGGATGGGTACAACAGTAGAATGGAAGGGATAGAGGAAAGAATCAGGAACTGGAAAATAGAACAATAGAAATTACCTGATCTAAACAACAGAGAGAAAATAGACTGAAAAAGTAAATATAGCCTCAGAAATCTGTGTGACTATAACAAAGATCTAACATTTCTGTCATTGGAGTCTCAGAAGGAGAGGAAAAAGAGGGAGAGATTGAAAAAGTACTTAAAGTGATAATGGCCAAAACTTTTCAGATTTGGCAAGAGATCTAAAACTACAGATTCCAGAAGTTGAGTGAACTGCAAACAGGATAAACCCAAAGAAATCCATGCTGAGACACATCATAATTAAACATCTGAAAGCTAAAGACAAAGAAAAAATCTTGAAAGCACTCATAGAGAAATGACATCTTGCATATAGGGGAAAAACAATTAGAATGACAGCCAGTTTCTCATGAGAAATCATGGAGGCCAGAAGAAAATGGCACAATATTTTTCGAATTCTTAAAGAAAAATCAATATAGATCCTATATTCAGAGAAAATATTCTTCAAGAATGAAGGGGAAATCAAGATATTATCAGATGAGGGAAAACTAAGAGAATTTATTTCCAGCACACCTATCCTAAAAGAATGGCTGAAGGAAGTTCTGTCAACTAAGGAAATGATAAAAGAAAGAATCTGGGAACATTAGAAGAAAAAACATGGTAAGCAAAAATATGAGTAAATACAATACCCTTTCCTTTTCCTCTTGAGTCTTTAAAGTTGTGTTTGATGGCTGAAACAAAAAAAAATAACACGAATGATTATAAATATATGTAGAGAAAATATTAAGACAATTGTTTTATAAACAGGCAATGGTAAAGGGAGGTAAGGGCCTATACTTCACTAGAACTGGTAAATAATGACACAAATAGACTGCAATTATATACGTATACACACACACACAGAGTCATGCGTTGCTTAATGATGAGGATATGTTCTGAGAAATGCATTGTTAGATGACTTTCATTGTGGGAACATCATAGCATGTACTTACACACACCTGGATGCTATAGGGTACTACACACTTACGCTATATGGTACTAATCTCATGTGACCACCATCATATATGTGGTCTGTCATTGACCAAAACATCATTATGTGGCACATGATTGTGTGTATATATACACACACACACACATACTATAATATATAAAGTATGAAAATGTGGTATATAATATATGTAATATATATTATGTATAATATATAAAAATGTAATACATAGAGCAACCACTAAAAGGCTATGTAAAAGATACACTCAAAAGCATAGATAAATCAAAATGGAATTCAAAAAAAATTCAAGTAACCCAAGGTATGGCAAAAAAAAGAAAATAGAAAGGGAAAACAGAGGGAACAAACAGGAAAAAAAGAAATGGCAGACTTATGTCCTAACATCAATAACTACATTAGCTGTAAATGGTCTAAAGACACCAATTAAAGACAGAGATTGGCAGAGTGAATTAAAACACATGACCCAACTAGAAGCTATCTACAGTAAACTCAATTCAAACATAAAGATATCAGCATGTTGAATGTAAAAGGATAGAAAAAGATATATATGGAAATATTAACCAGAAGAAAGCAGGAGTGGCTATATTAACATCAAACAAAGTAGACTTCTGAGCAAAGAAAATTACCAGAGCGGAACATTCTATGATGATAAAAGGGTCACATTACCAAGAAGACATAGTAATATTAATGTGTGTGCACCAAACAACAAAGTTTTGAAATATGTGAACCAAAAACTTAGAGAACTGCAAGGAGAAATAGATAAATCCACAGTTATGGTTAGAGGCTTTAACATCCCTTTCTCAAAAATTGACAGAATAACTAGATAGAAAATCAGCAAGGATATAGAAGAACTCAACATCATCAAATAACAGAATCAGATCCATGTTACAGAATGCTCTACTCAACAACAGTAGAACACACATTCTTCTTAAGTGCTTACAGAACATTCAACAAAATGGACCATCTCCTGGGACATAAACTTCAAAAATTTAAAAGAATTGAAATCATACATAGTATCTTCGGTGACCAGAATGGAATCAAACTAGAAGTCAATAACAGAGAGATAACAGGAAGATCTCCAAACACTTGAAAACTGCACAACACATTTCTAAATAATTATGGGTCAAAGAGAAAGTGTCAAGTGAAATCAAAAGGTACATTGAACTGAATGAAAATGAAAATACAGCATATCAAAATTTGTGGGGCACAGTTAAAACAGTGCTGACGGTAATTTGTAGCACTAAATGCATACCCTGGAAAAGAGGAATAATCTCAAATCAGTCTAAGTTCCTACTCAACAAGCTAGAAAAAGAACAAAGTAAACCGCAAAAAAGTAGAGAGAAGGAAATACTAAAGATAAGAGTACAAATCGATGAAATTTAAAACAGAAAAATAATAGAGAAGATCAATGAAACAAAGAGTTGGTGCTTTGAAAAGATCAGTATAATTAACAAACGTCTAGCAAGACTAAAATAGAAAGAAGAGACAAATAACCAATATAAAAATCAAACAGCAGATATCACTATAGGGCCTGCAGACGTCAAAAAGACAGTAAGGGAATATTAGGAATAATCTCACACATATAAACTTGGCAACTTGGATTAAACGGACCAGTTTCTCCCAAAACACAAACTACCACAACTCATCCAATTTGAAATAGATAATTTGAGTAGCCCCATAACTATACGCAAATTGAATCTGTAATTATAATTCCCCCCAAAAATGTCCTGGCTGAAATGGTTTCACTGGCAAATTCTATTTTAAAGAAGAATTAACACCAATTTTACATAATTTCTTTTAGCAAATAGAGGAGGAGGGACTATTTCCTAATTCATTTTCTGAAGCTAATATTAGCGTGATAGCAAAACCAAAGAGAGTACGAAAAAAGAAAACAGTAAACTAATATCCTTTGTAAATAAATACACAAGACACCTTAACAAAATATTAGCAGATAGAATTCAGCAATATATGAAAAGAATTATGCACTGTGATAAGTGGGATTTAGTCCAGGGATGCAAGACTGGCTAAATATTAGAAAGTTAATCAATGTAATCTATCTTAGTCTAAGGAGGAAAAATCAAATGATTATATCAATCAATACGGATAAAGCATTGGACAAAATCCAACACTTATTTATTTTCAGAACTCCCAGAAAAGTAGGAATAGAGGGGTATCACTTCAACTTGATAAGGAACATCTATAATAAAACTAACAACATACTTACTGATGAAAAATTGAATGCTTTCCTTCTAAGATTAGCAATGCAGGATGTCCACTCTCACTACTCTTACTGAATCTAGTACTAGAAGTTCAAACTAGCATAATAAGGCCAGGGACGTCTCCACTCTACTGACTAGATGACCGCAGGTGCATGAGCAAACCCAGTCAAGGTCAGCTGAGACTAGAAGAACTGCCTGGATGAGCACAGCCTAAATTGTCCACCTGCAGAATCCTGAGCTAAATGAATGGTTGTTGTTTTAAGCCACGGAGCTTGGGGTTTTGGTTATGCAGTAATAGCTACTTGATACAGGAAGACTCAATATTCTCAATATACTACTCTTCTTTTAATTTACAAATTTGAGAATTAATTAACCTACAAATTAATTTACAAATGTAGCACTATTCCAACTAAAGTTTTTCTTTTAATTAGATAAACGTATTGTCAAATTCACAGGGAAAAGTAAATGAAATAGAATAGCAGGAAAACTCTAAAGAAGAAGAGTAGAGACACTCCTTACCACATCTTGTCTTATAACTTCAGTTATTAGCATATTACTGGTACGTTAATAGACGATCAGACCCATGGGACGGAACAGCAAGTCCAGAAATTCAGTACATGATGTGGGTGAAATCTCAGTGCAGTGGGGGAAGTGATTGTCCACTAATAGTGTTGGGATAACTAGGTCTCCAAATGGGGGGAAAAGTTTACTCTTTGAAAGTTAAGAGAACAAAAGGCAAGAAACAGAATGGAAGAAAATATTCAGGATGCATATGTTTGCCAGAGGACTTGTATTCAAATTGTATGAAGAACTCCTACAACTCTATATTGAGACAATTAAACCAATAAAAACATGGACAAAAGATGTGAAGAAATACTTCACCAAAGAATACGTGCAAATGGCCAATGAGCTCATGAAAACATTTATAGTTAGTTACCAGGGAAATGCAAATGAAAAGCATGAGATAGACTATGTACCCAAATTAAGAAGATTGATGGTACCAAATGTTGGCATTGATGTGTAGTAATTGGAACTCTCATACATTGCTGGTGAGAATGTATAATGGTACAGGCACTTCGCAAAACTAGATCGCAGTTTGTTAAAAAGTTAAACATATATCTAGCATGCTACCCAGCACTTCACTACTAGATATCCAGGAGAAATGGAAGAATATGTCCATACAAAGAATGCACAGAAAATGTCCATAGTAACTTTATTCACAGTAGTCCAAAACCAGAAATAACTCAATTTGCCATCAATAGGTAAACAGATTTAAAAATTATGGTATATTCATAAAATGGATATATAAAAGGAATATATATCCATTAAAAAGGATATATATCCTTTTTAAGGATAAAAAGGAATAAAAAAGGGAATCAATTACTGATATATATGATATGGATCAATCTCAAAATCGTTATGCTGAGTGAAAGAAGGAGATGCAAAAGAGTTGTGTACTGTATGATTCCAATTATATAGTATTTTGGAAAATGCAAACTAATTTATGGTGACAAAAAAGCAGATCAGTGTTTTCTTGGGGCCAGGTGTAAAGAGAGGGGTGGATTGCAAGACGTCATGAGAAATCTTTTGGGGGAAATGGAGATATTCTGAGTCTTGTTTGTGGTGGTGGTTTCACAGGTGAATACATCTATCAAAAATTAATGAAGCATATACCTTAAATGAATGCAGTTTATTGTGCATAAATTATAACTCTTTATAAGTGATATTTAAAAATCCAAAAGTTTTAGTTACAAATGTATAGAAGTGCGGGAAGCCAGGCACTCTCATATGTTGCTGATCGGAGGGTGAACTCGTCGGCCTCATGGAGTGCAGCTTGGTAATATCTATCCAGATTACGAATGCATGGCACCTTTGACTCAGCTATTCCACTTTCAGGAATTTGTTCTACTTCCACACTTGTTAAATGATGTATTTACAAGGTTACTAGTTGTAGCAATGTTTGTTATAGCAATTAATGCCCACCAATAAGGAAATGGTTAAATAAATTCCGGTACATCCATGCAATGAAATACTTAAGCAGTTAGGATAAAGAATGAGGGAGTCTGACAATGTGTATTATGCTGAAAAGGGAGTAAGACAGGTGTATATATTTGAGTTTGCTTATATTTGCATACAAAATGTCTGGAAAGGTATATAAGAAATTAATAATAGTGATTATCTTGTAGCCAGAACAGGAGCTGGCAAAGAGGAGAAAGGAAGACAAGGAGACTCTTCCTTTATACTTAGAATGTTTGATTTTTGAACTATGTGAATATAATTGTAAAAGATCGATAAATAGAAATTTTAGCTATTTAAGGGAAGATGAACAAAGTCCTGAGTAGGTTTGTTGTAAAGAAAACTATGGAAAAATAATCAGATTACACAAAGGATTCCAAAAATATAAGATAGTAGAAATTCTTCATGGGACAAGATATTTATTAACTTTGGATCCAATCATGTTTTGTTTTGCTTCTTTTAAAATTTTTATTTCTAATAGTAATTTCTTAGAATTAATGGTTAAGTAGTGATCACCAAGTGCTGTACATTAAAAAAAAAAAAAAAAAAAAGCAATGGTCACATTTCCGCAGTCCATACTCAGTAGACCCTGGATCAGAATCTATTTAGTCACTCTCTGCTCTCTGTGGGGTCTGGCATCTGTGTTTTTCTAAGGTTCTACAGGTGACTGGTAAATGCTGCTAGAAAGGGATCACTGTAACTGGTGCCTCAGGTGTAGCTGAACCAGATGTGGTGTGTCTTCTGTCAAAGTGGAAGGACGGTTTCACAAAATAAATTCTCTTTGAAACCATACCTGTTTTTGAATGCAAAACATTTTCTCTGGTGGCCCTACCTTAGCTTCCTTGTAGGTATAAGTAGAGTGGAGTACCTTGAACAGTGTATTCTGCTAGGATGTCTTCCAAATTCAGGTCCCTGGCTGCCTCCAGTTGGGAAGGTAGGACAATTGCTTTGGGATGTTTAAGCCAAAAGTATCTAAAAACCTTCTAACAGTATGGCTTTTTTAAGCTAAAGAAATCATAGTGTTATAGAGAAAAAGTTTCAAATGTACGTGGAGTATTTAGAAGTAGGGAAAGGGTTTTTCCTTGATTTTAGATAATGTGAAAAGGGATGAGGAAATGTGAGAGTGGTCCTTGCAGTTTTTAATTTCACATTCTTTTTTTTTTTTTCTCAGTTGGCTTTTGAAACAATGAGTGTTATATCTGTGGTCACTAACTGTGCTCTGATTGGAATGTCACCACAAGTGAATGCACTCTTTCCGGAGTCAAAAGTGGACCTCATTTTGATTGTAGTAGCAGCGGAGGTAAGTGAAAATTTAAACCTGTCTTAAGTAGTTTCTACGTCAGATGCTTCTGTTACTCTAAAGCAGTGAGGCCCTGGCTGTCAGTGACTGGCAGTTTAGCAACGTGAGTTTACTGGTAAGAAAGCAAAGCAGTTCAGGTCATGGGAAGACATGAGGATTGAGCCTCTGTGTTGCTGGTTATTGCCCAGGTATGAAAACAGTCATCATGGTGCAAACAGGAAAGTGACTTTTCCAGCCATTGTGCTGACCTGTCCAGTGCTGAGTAGATAAATCCTATTTGAAATAGAATTCTGTACATGTAATATATTTTTTTAGCTTATTCCAGGGATCTGTCATTTTTACTTTCTTAAGCAAGTAAATCCTAAGAAATGCTTTTTGATAATGATCTGTTTGTCTTATTCACAATGTGTGAAGTTCATTGTAAAACTCTAAAACTCCAAAATGTAATGTGTGAGAAGACTCAGAATTTCACATAAAAGTGCAAGTGGACTGTCGTTGTAGTTTGTAGGTTTTCTTTTTGTTTATCATGTTTCTGAATATGGATTACTGTAACATCTTGAAAATTAAGCACTAACCAATTGCAAGTGGAAGAATTTGCAGGAATTTTTTTGTTGCTAGTGATTAGAGTTCATTTTTAGATATTTTAAAAACAGAACAGTTGTGGAAATTTGTTAAAACAGAATTTAGCAGGATCGTAGAGCAGTGATTCACATACCTACGGCCTCAAGACTTAGGGCTGACCAGAGGAAATGAAATTGTCAACTTGTGCATTTCCGCTAGTGGCTAAAAAACATTCTGCTATGCTCTATTTGCTCTTTTAGCATATTTGATAGGAATCTGTGTTCAAAATAGATGCTATATGTAGAATATGCGTTTTGGGGAATGATTTTTAGACAGCAGTGAGTAGGAGGGGAAAGAGAGTGGCTCTGGCAGATAAAAGTAGGTCTGTTTTGAATTTTGTGAGTTGAATAGGATTCTGGAGAGCCATTTGCAAGGCTGATTTATTACCTGTGGAAGTGATAGACCAAAACAGAGGTACCTTAGACAAAGATGGCCAGCTGGCCACTCTCATAGTGCACCTTCTTGATTAGGACATGGCCCTTAACTTTGCAGATCTAGGAAGTTCTCTTTGCCAGTACCCCGAGAGGTAATTAGGCTTTTGGGACTGACTTACACTTAAAACTAATGAGACTCCCAAGGGACTGACCAGAATGCCAAGTAGTTAATTTACCATAAGAAGGTAACTTTTCCAATGACCATAACAGTTTGTGTTAAAGTAAAAGTGGACTTGGTTATTGGAAGATGTCTTGGTAAATTTAGAACCCGAGGAAGAGGAGTGTAATAGTCTTAAAAGACACAGAATACTTGAAAACCATCCCTACCTCCAAACCAAGCAGTGCTCTGTCATGAGCCACATCTTGGTGTCCATCACCAGCTTCTGAGCAATGCTGGATGAGTGCAGCGCTGCCCACTTCTTGATTTTGCCTTCACTTTCTCTAGATTTCTGACTGGCCTGATCTTCCTGTATATTCCCATTGATTAGGCTATTGCTTTCTTTTGTGTTTGGTGATGTCTTAATTAGACATCCACGGCGTGATTCTTCTCGTTTAATTTGGGAGATTTCCTGACCTACAGGACTAACCTGCAGGTGGCGAACCTCAAGGTTGCAGGGTGATTTTGATAGTCTAATACTCATGGATTCACTTAATCTGCAAGTTCTGGGGGTACTTTGTTGTTGCTTCTGAGTTCTGTCTATTATATTTCCTCTTAAGTTTTTTGTCTCTTCACATAGTATTAAAACAACTGTTTTACTGTCATTATCTAAACTGTTTCTGTAGAGCACAACAGAAGTGAGTTTCTATTAAAAATCTTTATGAGGAAAAACCTTGAGTTATCTACAGAAAATTTAAATTATAATTGTGACTTTAATTGTCACTTTCTTACTTGTTACGGCGTACTATACACCTAGGCTATACTGTACTAATCTTATGGGACCACTGTCGTATATGCAGTCTGTCGTCGACTGAAATGTCATCATGTGGCACATGACTATATAAGTCAAAGGAAGTTGGAAAGCTAGAACAGGTGTCTCATACACCCTTCATCCAATTTGCCCTGATGGTTGCATCTTACATAACTGTAGTACAATATAAAAGCCAAGAGGTGGACATTGATACAATATGTGTGTAGTTGTCATTGTATCATATCTATGGATTCATTTAACCACCACTACCATCAAGGTACATCTCCACCGCCACAAAGATCTTTCTCCTGCTACCCACTTAAAATCACATCCATCCCTTCCTCCATCATCCCCAACCACTGGCAACCATGAATCTGTTCTTCGTCTCTCCATCTCTATAATTTTGTCATTTCAAGAATATTATGTAAATGGAATCATATAGTATGAAGCATATTTTTTGTAATTTCTATTATGGATTGAATTGTGCCTCCTCAAAAGGCATGTTGAAGTCCTCGCCCCTAGTACTTCCTAATGTGAGCTTATTTGGAAATGGAATTGTTGCAGATGTAATTATTTAAAATGAGGTCGTACTGGAGTAGAGTAGACTCTTAACCCAGGATGACTGGTGTCCTTCTAAGAAGAGAAGAGACACAGAAACACACGGGAGCGCACCGTGTGATGAGGGAGGGTGGAAGTGAGGTGCTGCAGCTGCAAGCCCAGGAACGCAAGGATTGCCATCAACCGCCCAAACCTAGGAAGCACCAAGGAAGGATTCTTTCTTACAGGTTTCAGTGGGAGGATGGCCTGGCCAGCAACTTGATCTGAGACTTCTAGTCTCCAGACTATGAGACAATGAATTTCTGTTGTTTTAAGCCATCCTGTTCATGACACTTTTTTACGGCAGCCCTAGAAAACGACTGCAGTTTCTGTGTGAAGATATTCCCTTAGCCAATCTTTCAGGGTAGGTCTGCTAGTGACAAATTCTCTTAGCTTTTCTTTATCTGAGAACTTCGTTTTCCCTCTTTCGCTCTTGAAGGAGAGTTGCATTGGATATAGAATTCATAGATGGTTATTTTCTTTTGGTACTTCCTTCTGGTCTCCCTGGTTTTTGATGAGAAAGCTGCTGTCCTTGAAACTGGTGTTCTCCTAGAGGTAAGGTGTCCTTTTTCTCTGGCTGCTTTCAAGAATTTTTTCTTTATCTTTAGATTCCTAAAGTTTAATTATCATGGTCCTTGGTGTGGATTTATTTGGGTTTATTCTGTTCAGGGTGTGCTCAACTTCTTAGATGTGTAGGTTTGTTCTTTCACCAAATTTGGAAAATTTTCAGCTATTCTTTCTTCAAATATTCTCTTTCTTCTTTCTTTCTGTTTTTCTTCTCTCCATCTGGGATTCTGGTGATATGAATGTCAGATGTTTTGTATTTTTGCACAGGTCCCTAAGGCTCTGTTCAGGTTTTTTTCAGTATCTTTGCTCTCTGTTGTTCAGATTGGGTCAATTCTATTGATGTGTCCCCAAGATCATTAATTCTACCCTCTTTCATTTCCACTTTACCATTGAGCGCATCCACTGAGTTTTTAAAAATTTCTATTATTACATTTTCCAGTTCTATAATTTCCATTTGCTTCTTTTTATAACTTATGTTTCTTTGCTGAGATTTTCTGTTTTTCCATTTGTTTCCAGAGGATTTGTAATTGATTGTTGAAGCATTTTTATGATGACTTGTCTTAGTCAGCTCACGCTGCTACAACAAAATTCCATAGACTGGGTGACCTAAACAACACACATTTATCTTTTACAGTTCTAAATTCTGGGAAGTCCAAGATCAAAGTGCTGGTAGATTTGGTTCTTGGTGAGGGTTCCTTTCCTGGCTTGCAGACAGCTGCCTTCTTGCTGTGTGCTCACATGGCAGAGAGAGGAAGCTCTGTCGTCTCTTTTTATAAGGTCACTAATCTCATCATGGGGCTCCACCCTCAGAACCTCATCTAAACCTAATACCATCACAGTGGGGGTTGGGCTTCAACATATGAATTTTGGGGGGACACAGATATTCAGTACATAACATCATTGCTTTAAAATCCTTTTCAGATAATTCCAACATTTGACTTCTTTCAGTGCTGGTGTCTATTGATTATATCTTTTCAGTCAAGTTGAGATTTTCTGGTTCTTGTTATGATGAGCGATTTTTAATTGTAAGTTGGACATGTTGCATATTATGTTATGGGACTCTTGATCTTATCTAAATCTCGTGTTTTAGCAGGCCTCCTCTGACACTGCTCTGGTGTGAGGGTACGGGGTAGGGTGTGTCACCTTGTTAACCTAGTTGTTGGTAGAAGTCCAGGTTCCCAACTTGAATTCTATTGTCACCTGAGGGGGGTCGTAGTTACTGCTGGACAGGGATGAGAGTTCTGCCTCCCCACTAGGCCTCCACTCTTGCTGGGAGGGGTATACATACGTTATTACTGCTTCCCACATGGCCTCCACTGACACTACAGTGGAGGATGACCTCCTTACTGCTGGGTGATGGTGAAAGTCTTGACTCTCCAGTAGTGGAGAGTAGAAAGGGAACCTTGGTACTGCCTGGTAGGGGTGGGAGTCGAGGTTCTCCATGTTGTCTACACTGACATGGTACGGGGGTGCTTCTTACCCTTCAGTCGGAAAAGAAGATTGGGCTCTCTACTTGGCCTTCTTTGGTGGGGTCAGACCCGTTGTTATAGGCTGGCAAGGGTATAAGCCTAGGCTCTCTTCCAGGAATTTGCTGGCCTGGGTAGGGTGGGGCCCCAGTATTTCTGTCGTGTTTGGCTGGAGTAGAGTGGTTAGTGCCTAAAAGTTTTCTGTGTAGCTACACTGCCCCTTTGGCTTCTAGAGCAGGTTTTTCTTGGGGCTTTTTCTTTCGTCTGTGCCTATTGGCATTTCTGGGTTGCCAGCTTTCTCAGCACTTAGTCTGGGATATATGAGGTAAAGAGAAAACTCTGGGAACTCACTGCCATGTTATTCCATAGGTCCTAGGGGTCCCTTGTCAGTCTGCCTTCTTCTTTCT